AGCCATGGAACTGCAAAATCAAGGCATGGAGACTGTAGGAATCCAAACCAGAGAATCTGAAAGGACAAATCAAACATACTGAGAGAAGCACAGATAAACGCAAAAGGAAGCACTGGCCACTGGAGATGCGAAAAACAGAGAAACAGATGACACATAACAACTTACAGGAATTATTTAGAGAAAAACAACATTAATGGGAGGCCGTAGGGAACGTAGGGAAAAGAAAAAGAAAATCAGTTGGAGTCCAGCATGTTCAGAGTTAACTTGACCATGACTACCACACTGAATGCATAGTCCTGATAGTGTAGCACGGAGGTGAAAGTATGATGATCAGAATCAGAAGTACTTTATTGATCCTTGAAAGGAAACTGCTTACGATGCAGCTGCTCTCATTCAGAGTCAGAAAAATCCATCCATCCATTATCTGTACACCGCTTAATCCTCACTGGGGTCATGGGGGGCTGGAGTCTATCCCAGCTGACTCAGGGTGAAGGCAGGTTCACCTGGACAGGTAACCAGCCTATCACAGGGCTACACTTAGAGACAGACACATTCACACCTAGAATCATCAACTGACCTCAGCATGTTTCTGGACTGTGGGAGGAGAACCCGGGGAGAACCCACGCTGCACAGGGACAACATGCAAACTCCATGCAAAAAGATCCCGGGTGTCCTCACCGGGATGCAAACCGCAGATCTTCCTGCTGCGAGGTGACGGTGCTAAACATGGAGCCACTTGGCAGCTCAGGAGTTTTTCAACAACAAGGAAACACACCACACATTCTACATAGACAACAGAACCAGACAGACAAATCATCCAGTACACTAGATATTATTGTTTTTTCCCTAGTACATTGGTATCAGTGTGTATGTGTCGCAGCACAAGTAGCCAAACTGAATCCAATGTTAATTTTAAAAAATCTCACCATTTGTTCACCAAAGAGAACTATTAAGTTCATTTTATTTAATATCACCTGCTTTGTGTTTGTCGTCTTTAAGACTTC